TATCTGTGCGAACTCAACATGCAGCACAAAATGGCAATTCGCTTCTTTTAAGATTGCACGAAGGAAAAGCCGCGTCGCTCCAAAAAGGCGAAGAACAAAAAATATGCGTGTCACACAACAGTGCAGCTCTCCCCCAGGCGTAGTTCCGCGCGAAGATCGTAATGGCACTCACGTTACCGATGCACGCTTAACCCTGCAAGTGGCCACGCGGGGTTAACTTATACCTTGTGCTATATTATGCCTGTGCTAATCTGCGTTGCGCCCTTTTTCCCTTTTTTTTTTTTTTTTTTTTTTTTTTTTTTTCCTTTCCGTAGATCCTGCGCTCCACCCAAAAGAGGTAAAGAAGGCCTCGCCCCCCTTTTTTACGACCTTGCCAAATGGTGTTTTTTTTTTTTTTTTTTTAATATACTACTTTGCGCGCGCATGCAAGGCTGCATAAGCAGGCATGACTGCTTCTACCAATTGTAGCCGCGTAACAGATTAACCGCCTGATCCCCACAAACCAGCCCAAAGAGCAGGGCAGGAAAGCGGCTTACGAGATTAAGTGCTCCCCGTTACAACTCCTGCCTTGTCAACCTAAGCGGCACAGCGCAGCGAATGTGGTACACGTGGATGCAACTGCCGCACATACACCTATGCACATGATTTCACTCCATACATGTCCTAGGAGACGAAACCACACCACAGTTGTGTAGCTATAATACCGTATCCGCTTACATTGAAGGCTTCAGTGGTGACGGGACTCCCCGTTGCATAGTGGTACGAACAACACTGCGCAGTCCTGACCACGCGTCCACCCCGACTGGACAATGTGGTGCTGTCCTCAAGAATGTGTTGTAACCCCGTAGAGCGAACTTTTTTTTTTTTCTCACCAAAAATATTGCACCACTTCTGAAGGAGGAAAACCGCGTTAGGAGCAGCATACGGGGGACATAAGCCCAACAGGCAAAACAGTGGGGTTCTATGTGAACACTTTTGCAGAACCCGCGACCACGCCGCTAGTTAACACGCTAGTAAACACGCCGCTAGTTAACACGCTAGTAAACACGCCGCCAGTTAACACGCTAGTAAACACGCCGCCGCTAACCCGCTGTCAACCCCACGAATGAGTCCCCCCCGCACAGAAGCACCATGTCGGACTCTGCGCAAATATACATGGAGAATGTGCTCCACATCACGGGGTACCTACACAGACTGCTGTTCCTCATGAAGGAACTGGACTTCAAGGAACACAAAATAAACAAGCTCATTCAACAGAAGGAGGAAATATATTTAGCACATCTGAACCACTGGTCAAAAAACAAAATCGACAGGCAGGGTACCTACCTGACTGGACAGTCGAGCATGCAGAATGACGACCGCCTACTTGAGTTCGAAAATAGGAACTGTGAGACGGAGGGCGTCGACCTACCAGGCAAGCGCCATGTGCGCATTAAGGAGGAGGAACACTCCGGTGGGGAGGAACCAACGGCAGGTGCAGACCCTGCCGCGGAAGAGACACCCCACGACTGCCACCGTAATGAACCCACAGATGCAGCTAGCGAGTCGTCATTAAAAAGCACATCGCATAAAGCAGCCAAACATAGCACGTCCCACCGAAGAAAGAAGGCAGACGCGCTACAGGGGGATCCCCCCGGCGAGCGAAAAGGGGTTAAGCGGGAAGTACAAACAGATGATGAGCAAAAGGGGGAAGCACAAAATGTATCAGACATGAATAATCACCCGTGTGGGGAACCGACCAGGCCCCCCGTGAAGGACGAAGCGGACCTGGCCCTTCACAACGGAGAGGACCCACCCAACACCCACCCCTACAAAAAAAAAAACAGTAACCAATACATGCCCAGCGCAAACACAGACGATGAAGGAAAGAGCCAAGTGTGTACATCCACACAAATGTACACCGAGGAAGAGTGTGAACATCTCCTGAACGAAATTATTAGCGACAGGGAACAGTGCATAGCTCTACTAAAAGAAAAAATATGTATAAACAACCAAATAGCTTATCTTATAAAAACTGATTTTGATCGTGTGAAAAGTCAGCACGACAAACTGTTTGTGGAGATGGAAATGAATGGAGAGTCACCTCCTTACCTGCACGACACGAGTAGGAACAGGAGTGCCCCCTACGACTGGAATGATCATCAGGACAACGTGAATGAAAGAAGTGGCTTCTCACATGAACAGCTGCTGACCCATGGGCACGGAAACGATATGCATGGTAACGCTACCCACGCAAATGGCTCCCATGTAAGAACCAACCAGAGCAGAAGTACCCACCAGTTAGACTCATGCGATATGAACAACACAAAAGAGGATGACGCAGACAGCTCTTCCATTAAAGCCTTTGGAAGAAAACACTCTCACAGATATGACGAGGATTACAACCCCTACACTGTGGGGAAGAATAAAAAAACGAAAAAGGCAAAAAAAAGCCGAGGGGGAGAAAATACCACCACAAATACAAGCACTAAATTGAAAGTCGCAACGGACAAGGGAGCCTCCGGTGTGGAAGGCGGTGGAAGTGCAGGTAGTGAGGGCGTGGTGCAAAATTCCTCCCAAACGGGAAGCAGTAAAATGAGAATTCGTCTCCTGTCGGTGAAGAACCTCCCGCAGGAGGTGACCAACCAGGCGGATGGTACGCCCTCGGAGAAAGTGGCCTGCACAGCGGTGGAGGAGGCCCCACACATGTCCACCTCGGAAGCCAAGGCAGATCTAGCCAAAGCAGACCTGGCCAAAGCGACCAGCCTTGAAGTAGCAAAAAAGCAAGGTGAAGATCATGCCGAACAGGGTGCAAACCCCCATGGGGAACAACCTAATGAGAATGAACACTCCAATGAAAAGGAAAATCATTAGAAAAAAAAAATTATTATTATGAATAGGAAGCAACGGTTGGGGAGATCAATCATGTGTGACTTTTTTTTTTTGTGTCATGTTCCACTCATGGATCTAATGTGGTACACACCATTCAGCACGTCTTCAACAAAACGAATGCGTGTGACAGAGAAGGAGAGAGAGAAGAAGTCCCTTTCCCTTTTACGCAACATGCATGATCATGTGCATATAAGTTGCCGTCTCTCCCTCTGTGGAGGTAACGTTATAAAGAAAAAATTGGACAGACCATTCGGGGGCTTCCACCCCATCGTGCGCAGGGGGGGGCAGCGAAAACACACACGAGTGTTGCATGAATGGAATGGAAGACGCATATTACTAAGTAGAATTTGGTGAAAAAAAATATATATATAGTACCATGTCACATCATGCCAGGTAGCAATTGTGTGTGGCCCCCCTAAGCGCACGCGGAAGAACCAACTGATGAGACCGCACATGGTACTCCTACGCCACAGGGTGCAGAATTGCAGTTGTATACCATGTGACGCGACTCAACGCATGTTTCATGCCCCATTTGTGATCCCTTTTTTTTTTCTTTTTAAATATTTTTTTCTGTGTCTTTTCCATCCTGCAGAGCGACCTACACACAACACTGAGCTTCTCCCTTTTTTGCTGTGAAGTGTGTAGCCGCTGAGAATGGCCCCCTCTGCTCGTCGTTCTGCATATGTATTGGTACACACAAACATTTGTGTGTGTGCATGTTTTTTTTTTTTTTTTTTTTTTTTTTTTTCCCGCGGAGTGATACAACGAGGGGCAAATCGACAAGATACATTTGTCCCCATCTTGTTGGTGCAGGAGGCCCGCATTGGAAAACCCAAATGATAGCAACGCATTTTTGAATAATCATCTCGTCTGAAGTGGAGCTATTCTGTAGTGTCGACTTGACGACACTCACCACTGCGCTTCTCTTCATGCATTCCCATTTGTCCAACACAACATTCAACATTTGGCAAAATATTTTTGTGACCCTTCCATTTCTTTCTACACATGCACAGGTGTCACCTTCTCTTCATCGCGTCGTGGTGACAGGGAACACACACATGCCCTCCCTTGCGCCACGAAAAATTTTTAAGGGAGCTTGTCCCCTGTTCGGTCTACTTAATTCCCCATTTAGGGACCATCCCGTCAACGTAGTGGAACGCCACAAGTACCAACCAACTAGTGAAAACAGCACAAAGGAGCATCACATATATATATGTATATGCAAAAGGATAAAAGAAGAAAAAAAAAAAAAAAAACTTGTCCCCCCCAAGATGGCGCCCCCTACATTTATGACGCAAGGGAAATACATACAACTACTCAGCTTGGCAAAAAAATTGCATGCCTGCAAAAATGAGTTACTTCGTTACAAGAGGGGGGAGACGAGTGCCACTGCTGCTACCTGCATCACTCCCATGGGGGGCAGTCACACTGGTCTGTCAATCGCCACACAAAGCAACCCTACAAAAATGGAGAGACGCCTTCCGAAGGGAGAATTCTACACGACGAGCGAAAAACGGAACAGCATCAAATCTGTATCGAGTGAACCCACACTCAGGACCACAAAACGGAGTGCAACACCTCAACCGGGTAGAAAAAAAAGGCAGAGTGACCCAACCCCACTTAGGACAAGCTTCACCAAGGAGAGAATCGCAAACGCGCACAAAATAAAAGATGAATACGAACTACACATAGGACAGCTAGCCAAAGGAACAACCCGTGGTGAATACAAAGCAAAGAAGAAAAAAAAAAAAAAATTAAAAAGCAAGACACAAGTTTTGCCCCACAACAAAGGAACACAGAAGAGTAGAAAAAAAAAAAAAAAAACTTTTTGCACGCTCCCCAAACATGAAGTCAGCAAAAGGATCACCAACATAGCTAGGTGCAGCAAGAAGTGGGTTCTTCACAAGCAAGAGGAAAATGCCGAGTACACATTTCGGAGCCCACACGGTGCGCCTCACCTAACCGCTTGGGAAGGGGCACGCAACAGTGGAGAAAATGAAATTGTTCCCGTCCGGGTAGAAACGAAACTGCAGATGTCACCGCTCCTACACACAAGTCAGGTGATGGAAGACCCCCCAGTGATTGCGTCCATGCGGAACAACTCCTCAAGAAAGAACAACTCAACTGCTTTATCCACACAGAGAGGAAAGCAACCACGTACCAAACCTAGTAAAAGTGAAAAAACATCGAGTGAAGGAACCCACCCTGCCCATGCCACTAACAAACGACATAATGAATCTGCCCCAAAGAAAGAAGGCCCATTCTCCAAAGGGGCACAAATTTCCAGGAGGATGTTAAGAAGTGTTTCTACATGTACAGCCCAATCTGCTAAACGTACTCGTGCACAATTGAGTAGGGGGTCATTACAAAAAGGGATTTCTCCGAGGGGTCCATGCGGCACCGTTGGTGGGACTGTTCGCAGCACACAGAGCAGAATTAAGAGGCCTCTCCCATCTCGGCCTTCTCTGCGAACTTCCCCCTTGCGAAGTACAAAACGGAAGAGACAAAACGTAACGAGGAAGACCGCTCCGAAGCGGAGCATCCTGCACGCTCCCCCCACTCAACAGCGTGGTCATGACTATCAGGAGGGAGAGAAGCAAAGCGCCAACCAAAAAACCGTGAAGGAATTTATAAAGGCGTTGAACAACTCCAGTGTTATCATTTGCACGAAGGGGCATAAGACGCGACCGAAGCGGAGCAGGCGAAAATGCCTTCACACCAAGGTTTGACAAAAAAAAAAAAAAATAACAAATTAAATACAAATGGGACATGCACAATCCGACGGGCAACACAAACATGTGCATGTGTACATACATGTGGGTTTATTTACACGCATGCCATTCCTAGATGGCTCGCTTTGTCCTTGTTCGCTAACTTTTTAACTGCATAAGCGGGCGCTCCTATGCGTACGATTGTTTGGTCCACCTGTCCACCTCGAAAAAAAAAAAAAAAAAAAGGCACCCCACAAGTGGACACTCTGTAATGCTTCTCTTCCCCCCCTTTTGTGTGTGTATTGCAAAGGTGAAATTTTTTTTTTTTTTTTTTTTTTTTTTTTTTTTTTTTTTGTCATTGGTGTGCACAGAATAGCTAGCTCACTTCAAACTGTTTTTCATCAAATGTTAACCTCCCTTTTGCTAATCATTTGTACCGCTTGATGAGCCAACACTGTGAAGACTGTAACGGCGTGATTTAAATCCAACGAAGAACATCCCTCCATGTTCCCATTTTATCATACTAAAGAAGCGTCATGTTGTTAAGGCGTGCTTCCTCCCTTCACACTCCTCCGGTTCAAGTACACAATCCTGCAAAGGGAAAAAAAAAGGGAATGGGAAATTCAAGTGCAACATGTCTGGGTGGACGGCCAACACGAGAGGGATCTCACGAATTCTCTTTTTCACATCCCCTCGCTTAATCATCATTTTTTATTTTTTTTATCTGTCCTGTTTTGTACCAGTACGAATGGGCCAACTATCACCTCGGAGCTGTGCAACAGCCGCCTTTGTCCTGATCCGTTCAGGTCGTCGATCACGCTCTGCAGGCAGTTGTACACCTCAGCATGCGTTCCTAAGGTAGAGGAGGGGTGGAGGCGCATATGAGTAGCGGAAAAGGTGGAAGACGCTGTAAAGAGCTTGTTGCGGCACATAACGCCTCGCCCAAAAAAACGGCGCACTGCACACACACGCCACGCAGCCTCACTCGATGTCAGGGTCATTTCCTTCTGCTGGAAGCTTCGCACCCTAGCGAAGTCCAAAAAGGCGTTCAATTTATTGAGGTTTCCCTTGGAGAAGTAAAGAAATATGTCGTCACCGCACTTGACAGGAAAATTCTTCTCCAGTGATATATTCGTACTGATCCCCTCCGATGAGGTCACACAAATCGAACTGGGCATCTCGTCTGGCGGGCAGGCAGCATGAGCATCTCCTCTATGGCGCGTGTCCACACATGGGTGGGCCCACCCAGTTGGAGGCAACCTCATAACGTCCAGGTAAAAGCTCAAAATGCAAATATGAATCTGTCGCATGGTAACTTCACTAAGCGAATTATGATCCATAGATTCCCACACGTGAAACAACAATCTTGCGAAGAGACTTCTACTTATATGGGATAAAATGCTTCTCTCGGGGAATTTTGGGACTTTCATTCTGCCTGACCTGTACAGGTGAAATGAGCTACCATTTGGGGGAACAGATGCCCCGAAGGGATATCCATCCAACTGTGCATACCCTCCCATGGGAAACATAAAGTCCAGCACGTGCAGAGAGAAGTAACACAACATGCACTTGCTCTCGAAGGGAAGTAAATCCACATGTTGATTAATAACGTGGTGCAAGGTACGTATCGTGTGGAACCTGATCAAATGGGCACTGGCCTCAAAAGAGCTAAAGGTTGCGTTGGCCCCATTTGGGTACTCGTTCAGTTTCTTCCAGGGGGTGTTTTCCACGTCTTCTGCGTAGGAACGGGGGTCTTCTCCAGTGTGCCCATGGGGGGAACAAATCAACTTATCACCCCGATGGTCATTCGAACTCCCATTCAATTTTCCGCTGCGCCCACCCAACGCGCACACATCGTAGGGGAAGCAGACCCCCGGGGGGTTGGCAAAGGCAACTGCGCCGCCACCAACCAGCACCTCCGATTTGGACAGGGATTGAAAAATGCGAACCACAAGAGAGCAATCCTTTGCGTCTAAAAAATGTACCCTCTTGTGCGTCTTTTCAAAGAAGTAAATATTTTCCCTATTCTGCCTGACCACGTTCAGGTGATTTTGCGAAAAGGTGTCCTGTTTGTTCATGAAGGAAGACGAACAATATTTGGTATAAACCAGACGCACAAACTGGTAACACAAAAGTAGAGTGACCTGCTCATCTGAAATATTCTTCTCGTTCATTCCGAATAGAAAGTCTGCAATGCTCTGCAGGGAAAAGTCCTTCCACAGATGGTGGACCTTCCTATTCATGGCGTAAAAAGTTCCGTAAAAGTTCAGCTCCAATTTTCCCAGCGAAAGTGCTAGAGATGAAATTTGCACAGCTGTGAATTTACCAAGGACATGTTCCCTCTTCACCAATGAGCCAATCTGCGTTGCCAGTTTAACTACCTCTCCTTCGACCTGACTATACAACTGCTTCAATTGCCCTTCCACATTGTTACGTAACAATGAGTCATACGTATTATGAACCCCATTGGTGCTTCCGTAACGGGGTGTGTACACCTCTGTCGATTTCATTACTGAGTGGAGGTAGGACTGGAACGCTTGGCTTGTAACTCTTCTAAGTAGACTAACCCGATCATACTTCTTCCTCCCACTCCACAAAGAAATCATTTTTGAAAATGAATACATTAAGTTGCAGATGTCTAACCCATTCAACACCATCAGATGTTCTCTTAAAACAAAACAACAGAGAGAGACAAACTCTACATGTGCCACACCCAATTTTGCCAGTGCGTGCAAAATGATTACAAGCTTGGAGACGCTGTATCGGTCTACATGCAATAAAGATTTCCCCTCACTAGCGTTTGAAGAACTTCTAACATTACTTAGCATCGTGGACGTACCTCCATTTGAATAGGACTGAGTCCCCCCCAGAGCGCTACTCCCCTCCCCAATAACCCTCCTCAACTGTCCCAACACAATATAATCAGCTAAGTAGTAACCCAGCAGATTGTACTCCCTTAAGCTCAGCTTGGCAAACATATTTAATACACAGCTTATAGAATTCAAATTCATAAACTCCAAGTTGAGGAGAAATCTGATAGCTATCTCGTTGTAAACTTGGTGGTAACTCCTTCCATCTGTTCTGTCCTTCCTCTGCACTGTGACGTCACCATCGTAAGAGATGAACTGAAATGGGGAGGAGCAACGCAAAGGAGATCCTGCCCCTTCTGCATTCAGTCGATCTGACGTGTGTGCATGTCTTTGCTGCACATCACCACCAAAGAGCAGATCCACTTTACTTAACGAATTAGCCATAATAAAGTAACTTTGCGTGTTTATCCTGTGAAGCATGTGTCCCTTCACCAACCGGTTACATGCCTTGACCCAAAAAGGGTGCCCTCTGAAGTAGTCCATCTTGGCCACAATATTCATGCAATAAGAGAGGTCCCGTCCCAGCATTCTACTCAGGTCCATTTTAGTTATTGCTCCTTCGAACTGTTTGACAATGGCGTCCGGGGGAAGTCCTCCACTGTTACGTGGCCATTTGTGTCCCTCGAGAGGGTTGTCTCCCCCTCCTCCTTTGGGGCACCTCTCATTCAGCTCCTCATTCAGCTGCTGATTAAGCTTGTTAAAGATTCGGCTGATGCTAGAGGAATACTCTCCTGTGTTGCTGAACGTTCTGCGGCTACCCCTGCAGGGGTCCACTCTCCGCAGGGGCCACATCGGGGGGTAAAAATGGCGAAGCGGACAAGCGGCGAGGAAGGATGCGACCCACAAGAGACGTGAGCTCGCCTGCACCTGTGTACCGTATTACCGCATACACGATTTACCCATCATCCATTTTCATCGTCCAGCCCATTCTCCTCTACATCGAGCGCCGAAGAGGGGGAAAAAAAAAAAAAAAATGCAAAATAACAGCACAACGGAACCTGGACACAGCGGAGGGAACAACCTTGGCGCCTCAAATTGGGACGACAGCTACACAGCCAGGTGCCAAAAAAAAAAAAAAAAGCCCGCTCCACCACTCTCCTCACAAAATGACGTATAGCTTTAGGCAGGGAGTCTCGCTCAATGTCCCCCATGTGCGCAATGACCTAACAGAGTCACCTGACGATGTGCTGCACTGCCCTTACGCGCTGCCCCACCCGCCGCATGCACCCTCGGGAACCGGTTCCAAACCATGTGCAATCGCCCGTGCACTTGCGCCCCAGGGAGGCTTTTAAAATATTTTTAATTTTCCCCCAATAATGCTAAAACAGAAAGGAGGAAAAAATATACATAAAAAAAAAAAAAAAAAAAAAAATGCGTAGCTTAACGATGTGAGGCAAAATAGCAGCGTACACCCGAACAGTGTCAGATGACCAAGTGGTGAAGCCGAGCCAAGGCCAATGCTAAGAGATTACCCTATCGAGCAATTCTGGTCATACTTAACCATCCCACATTCCCTTTAACGAGTCACAAAAAGGGGTAACGCAAAAATAAAAAGGGAGTGAGATTCTCCCCCTTCGCCCCCTTTTGGCCCTTTTCACACTATTCCTCCTTTTAAATCCATTTTTTTTTTGGGGGGGGTGCCTTTCTTCAGCACTACACGTTAACGCGTGAGTGAGCCACGTAAGTGGAGACCCTCGCCCCATCACGCCACATCGCGCGCAGGAGGAAATTCCAGCATGACTAATGCGCTAAGCACCACCCGGCCTGATTTTATACACACGCACCAATTATGACCCTTTGCTTCATATCACTTGCTCAGATTGTTCACACCCCGCCGTGGAGGACCCGTACAAACGCTAAAAACGAAGAGAAATTCCCAAAAGATAAGCCCGATGGAAGACAGCGCTGCGAAGATCATCGGCTGCCATGACAGCCTTCTGACCGACCCCAGGATCGCCCAGGACTTCAGCGCGGAGACGGATGAGCTGCTTGCAGAGGCGGAAAACCTCTTCAAGGTAAGGCGGCGACATATGCAAAAGAGGCTGTACCGACGTCTCCTCTCACGCACACGTTACCGATTGAACCACGACTCTGTACATTACTCCCCCCCTTTTTTATAGGTGGGCGACGGAGAACTCGCCATGGAAAAACTCATCGCGATGGAAAAAAAATGCAGACAAGCATACGACGGAAGCTCAACCAGCAAAATTGTTCAATTCATTCTGAACAAATACAAACAAGCAGGGGATTACAAAAAGATTAACGAGTACCTAGTCTTCTTTAATAAAAAAAGAGGACAGCTAAAAAAAACCATCATCGACATGATCAACCTGTGTAAAATATGGATCCCAGATGTGGAGAGCAAAGCAGATAAGCTCAGCTTGATTAACACCCTCTGCACCATCAGTGAGGGAAAAATTTTTGTAGAGGTGGAAAGGTCAGAAATTGTTAGGGTGCTCTCGAAGATGAAGGAGGACGACGGGAATATTGAAGAAGCTGCAAACATCCTGCAGGACGTACAAGTAGAAACATTCATATCCATGGGTAAAAGGGAAAAGACAGAATACATACTCGAACAGATGAGACTCGTCTTGTTGAGGAAAGACTTTATTAGGTGCCATGTGATCAGCCGAAAGATAAACCCATCACTGTTGAACGCTCCTGAGTTTGCTGACTTGAAATTAAAATACTTTATGTACATGATCGAATATCATATTAATGAGGAGGCATATGCTGAGGTAGCTAAATGTTATGAGGAACGATTCAACACAGAACCCGTTTTGGCAGACCCAAATTTGTGGGTAGAAGAATTAAAATGCTACATCATCTTCTTAGCCCTATCCCCATTTGAAGATCAACAAACAAAACTACCCAACCTACTAAAAACAGAAAAAAAAAAATTAAAAGAAATACCCGTCTTCCAAAACATCGTGGAGGATTTTATTAACATGGATTTGATTCAGTGGCCTCTTCCCTACCAGGATGAACTTCTTAACTTTTACATTTTCAACGACTCTAAATTTGTGGGTGGAGAAAACAGATGGAACCTTTTTAAAAAGAAAGTCATGCACCACAACATACACGTAATTTCAAACTGCTACTGCCAGATATCTCTTCTTCGCCTCTCCCAACTGCTCCACGCATCGGTGGAAGACTCAGAAAGCTTCCTCTCTGAATTGGTCTCGAACAAAATATTGAATGCCAAGATAGATCGGCTACATGGAATTATTAAATTTGGGCAGAAGAAAAATCCTGAAGTGTTGCTCAACAGCTGGTCTTCGCAGATTCATCAGATCCTTAACCTCCTCGAGGAGTCCTCGCACCTCATACAAAAAGAACGAATGCTCCACGAGGCCAAACTCAAGCGCATGCAGTTGGAGAGTAAAAATATGACTCTGTAAAAAGGGGGGTGGCAGGAAGCTTTCTCACAGGCGTTTCCCCATTATTACCACGCCTCGTCGTCATGCAAATATTGTGTGCATCCCTGCATCTTCCAGGTTCAAACCTGTGCGCTGCTGTTTGTGTGCATCCATTAAGCGCACTGCACACGTTAAACCTGTTATGCCTCTCCAAATAAATTGGGCACAAATGGGAACGCGCTCCCTTTCTCGGGGGCTTTGCTAAATTTTTTTTTTTTTTTTTTTTTTTACTCGCGATGACAACTTCGCGTAGGACGTTAAACGTTACACGTTACACGTTAAACGTTAAACGTTAAACTGGTCGGAAGGATTTCTTCCCCAACGCTATGCTCCATTTTACACCTTTTCACGGCTGCGATTTATTTTTGCCCGCATTGTCAAATGAGGCAACTGGAGGCGTCGTGCGCTCGGCCATTTCACGGGACAGCAGTTAACTTACGTTCATCTTGTTACCTCATTAGGGTGTACATATGTATAAAGGCTGCTTTCCAACATGGTAAGAAGTAACAATCGGGCGGACCGCATTCCTCTCGTCCTGACGTCGACAAAGAGAAGATAAAGAAAATGATTTTTCAAGCCGCTCCGCTCAATTCTGCTTCTTTACTCCGTGGTGAGTCCCCTCCATGAGATTTTTTTTCTCCTACTGTGATGAGCGAAGGGGGGGTGTAGCGGCACACTGTTGCAAGGGTGACAAGGCGCAATGGAGTGAGTATACACAAGCGAGGCTTGCTTGACAGGGAAACGGACGCCACAGAGAAATAATAACAACGGCCCATCACAACACTTCCTAGCTTGTGCAAAATGCCGCGCACACCCCTCGCGCTGCGCCTGTGTCTGCTCTGCGCACTGCTGCCGCTGTTCGCGCACCCAGAGGGGAAGAGAAACGGTCCACAAAAAATATCCCTTGTGAAGGCCATCCACACGAAGAGCACCCAGCCCCGCAGCAGGTGGAAGGTCCGTCCCAGGCGACGGATACACCCTGTGGCAGAACCACCGCCATCACTGCAAACATGTGACAACCACAATAAAGGGCGTAATGGAACTAAACTCTTTTACCTATACACAGCGTTCAACAAGATTGGAGAACTGCGCAGGGTACAGAGGAGGGCACGGTGCAATGATACGGGTAGCTCGAAAAATGGGGTGGACCCATCCTCTAGGCTGCCGCCGCACAAACGAGGCGTCCATGTGGGCAAGGAGAGAGACGCTCTAGGAGGACCCCCCAAAAAGGTGATGGGAAGTGACCACATTGACACATGCGAAAGGGAAGGAGACACACAACTCGAGTCGGCAACTCCCCTTGCGGACCAGCCCAAGTCAGTCGATTATTACATAACCCTGTACAAAGAGCATCTCCTGAAACGGCCAAGCAAAATAATGCACCTGTCTCCCCCAAGGCAAAACGAACAAACGGAAGGAAAAAAAAAAAAAAAAAAAAAGAAGAAGAAGCCACCCTTGATGACATCCTATACGGAGGTCTTCTAAACATTTACAAACCTGTAAATGTATACTCTACAAAAGTTTGTGACAGGGTTAAAAAGGTCCTTAAGCAACACTTCAAACAGTTGAGCAAAACGAAATTAAAATTTAAAGTGGGACATGGAGGGACCTTAGATCCCTTCGCTGAGGGGGTCCTAGTGATCGGTATACAAAAGGGAACAAAAAAGTTAAGGGATTTTTTACAATGCTACAAAAAGTATTTGGCCTTAGGCCTGTTCGGCATGGAGACGGACACACTGGACAGGGAAGGCCAAGTAGTAAAAATGAGCAGCGACATGATGAAAAAAAAATTTCAAGTGGGAACCACCACACAGGATACAGTTATCTCACAAGCAAACATTACTCTCACTCTGAATAAATTTATGGGGTACGTGTATCAAACGCCGCCACTCTACTCAGCCAAGCGGGTCAGTGGAATGAGACTCTACGAATACGCTCGAAAAAAAATTGCTGTTCATATAAAACCAAACAAAATACACATTCAAAATATAAAATACTTAAATGAAGTGGACCTTCCCTTTTTTGACCTAGAAATACAATGCTCTGGAGGTACGTACATACGCAGCCTCGTGCGAGACATTGCACACGCAATGAACACCCATGCCACGTTAGTTAAACTTATTCGTGTCCAACAGGGGGAGCACTTTCTATATGAACACTCTTTACACTACGATGACATCAATATGGAAAATATTAAGAGGCATTTGATCAAGCTGTAGGGGAAAGGGGGGGGGGTCTCCTCGCGAAGTAGAGAAGCGAAGTGGAGGTGCTTCATGTGCCGCGCATTTTTTTTTTTTTTTTTTTTTTTTTTTTTTTGGACATGTGTCACGCACATAGTCATACACATCCCCGATGCACTCACATAGGAGGTTCTATTCCCCCCATTAGGGAGATGATGGATGGAGGATCGGTCACCTGCCCACACCTTCACAAAAGGAAAAGCGGCAAAACAAAATACCCAACTGGGGGATATTGGACACTTCTGGGTGGGAACTGTATACACACACCACTTTTCATGGCCGCCAGACGGCTTACCTTCCGTCTGACATGAAAAGGAAAAGTGACAGCGCTCAAAGTCCCACTCCCTATTAGTTAGGTCCACCCAGACGGGCAAATAGAGCCAAAACCAAAATGGTGAAAATCGGAAAGAAACTTAAAGGGTTTGATGAAGGGATAAACAGGCACGACACACACATAGGGGGTGAAGCACCCCAGGAAAAGGATACACAAGTGAGGAACGGAGCAGAAGAAATAATAGGTCGAGAGTTCATCACCCTCCTTGGTGATCATTTAGGAGAACAGAACTCCACAGAAGCAATAAACGGACGAAGCCCGCTCGAAGACACCCGGTCACATATCTGCTGCAGCAATGTAGACCAGGAAGATATAAACGCGTACGTCGAACGCAATTATACGCCCACCCTCTTTACACTCCTTTTGTACAAAGTTTTAATAACAAAGCCAAAAAACGTAATCGATTATATTACGGACGAGCTAGCCATTCTACTCAACCACGAAACAGAAATGAAAGAAACAAAAGAGGATAGCCATGTTGGAACGGACACACACAATACCATTCCATCCAAAGACGAGATGGACAGCAAAGCTAATGCGCTAAACGAAAACGATTTCTCAGTAAAGTACACTCCAACCCAGATAATAAATCATAAAACGTTTCTTGCAGACAATTTTATTACCCTGGATGATTTATTCGACGCAGTGAACCTCATCAAAATTGAAAACTGCGATAAAGTTTACTTTAATAGTTTATTAAAAATTTTGCGCCCTTTCGAAAATGCTCAGAATAGGGACATCCTCTTGAAGGAAAATGTCCAGCCCAACGAGTGTGTACCGCTTAACTGGGCCCTCTACCTCACCACAACTTTTTACAACAACTGTATTGGTGGTGCGTCCGGTGTGTAAACAGGGGTCTGTCCAATTCTTGCGCTGCTACAGGTTGATCCCTGCCGGATGACCCTAATGGGAATGTTACCTCACTGAGCTGCGTATTTTTTTTTTTTTTTTTTTTTTTAATGCCCTCATTTGGCTAGCCAAAATGTGCATTTTTTTGTTCCAATTTGGCTAGCTGGGCAATAACAATTTGGACATTTTTGGTCGTTTTGCCTGACTGTGCAGTAAAAACTTATTATTTTATCATTTTCTTTTTTATTCGCCCATGAGGAGTTATCCCCCGAGCGAGTTGTCCAGTTCAGTGTGGCCAACTTTGGAAAGCGTCTTTACGACGACGCGTTAGGTAACGGTATTTCTTATGACACGTTGCGGTAGGAAGAACAAAAAAACAAACAAAAAAAAAAAAGCATGGCAACTATTCATGTGCGCCTTGCGTTACCGCCCACACGAAAGTGGCATTGTACGTGTAGCGGGAAGGGAACAAACATGGACGAACGCATGGACACGCGCATGTGCAGACGATGTCCTCCCACATACAGTTACACGTCATCCTCCAACTTGTCAATATTTTTTTGAAGCGAAATTTTTGTCTGCGGCTTGGGGTCAGGCGGCAAGCATTGCATTTGTAGCCTATCGAGGGGTGAAAGGGGAGGAAGAACAGAATGTGTAAATGGACCAAAGGATGAGCGCGCAGAGAAGTGCCACTACAAACGAGAAGCAGCGCAAACGGGGAGTAACGCAAACTTACTTGCTGAGCGATTCGCTCGTGTTGTGTTCATTCCTCAAACTTCTCAAACTGCGCAGGGTGGTAGAGCCATGGTCCTTCTTCTGCATATTCGAATGGGTGTCCCGTCGCACTTTTGGCCTATTAACAAGGCCCAAATCTGGCGGCATCATCATGTAGTCCATCGGTTTACTCATCATCTCATCCATCAGGTTTGCACAACTTCCATTCTGCCCCCACTCACCGCCATCCTCTCCCGTCTTCACATTCATATCGTTCGTTCGCTTAGACAAGGGAGTCAACTTTGCACACTGGTAATGATTTAAATCGCCCCCCCTTTCCACTTCCTTATCCTCCAAATGGTCAGTGGAGATATGTTTACCACTCCAATGATCTTTTTCTCCATGTTGGAAAAATTTCTCGATGATGGCATTTGTGTTTACTCGACTGTCTTGCTTCATCCCCCCTGTACACAGAAATTCGTCGCTGCTATCTGGCTCATTATAAGAGGGATCCTTCAAAGCATCTCCGTGGGAGAGGTTGTCTGAGCATTGTTCGTAATCAGCATAAAGGTATTCCCCTTCCCAATGAGGATCTGCCTTCAAATGGGATTTATGCTGCTTTCGGTTCTGTGCCTTCTCCAAACCTTCACCTTTGAAGTGACTGCGTTTGGAGGAGAGAAGCTCTCCAGTGTAGTTCCTCGCGCTGCTCACATGTGAACAGTCCTCTTCCGATGAAAAGGTCCCCTTCGCACGGATGCTCTTCCTTAGTGAACCGCTTTCCATGTTATCATCTGTTGCGTCTCCATTCGAATGGTCATCGCCCATGCTATTACGCGAGTGGCTCAGGAAGTGGCCGTCCTGACGGTTAGCGCCCTCCACACCTGCGCCGCTGCACGGGAAGCGACTGGGTACGCCTTCCCTCTTGCCCAACTGCACAGCTGCCCCCCAGTTCATGTGTTCATTACTTCTCGTGTCTCGCAATTTCCTTTTAACAATTGAATGGCTATCCCTGAGGATGTGATTGATCTGAGCATCGTCTCTCTCCTCCGAAGCGGAGTTGCACAAGGTCTTGTCCTCCACTGAATCCGCATCCGATGTCAACTCCTTCTCATTGGGGTTAAAAGCGGTAACTTCCTCGTGCACCCCGTTGCATGACATTTCTTCCTCATCATCGTCTTTGTCGTGGTCGTGTTCCCCCCCGACGTTTCTAACACTGTATGCTACTTTGCTCATGGTGATCTTCGGGTGGCTGCCCATACGATCGGTAGAGGCATCCCCAATCTGGTCAACCCTGGAGAATGGACTACCACTTCTCCAATTCTCTGCTCCAAGGGGGGGAACTTTCCAGGGGGAGTGTTCATTGGCCATTACTGCTTGCCCACTCAACGCGGGTACGCCGTGTTGCGGTTGGCCTACCTCATGGGGCAAGTTGCCCCAGTGAAGAGGCTCTGGCGAGTAGGGGACACCGTGCTCTGTCTCGAGAGATCCTCCATCAGGTGTGCCATCTCGCTTCAAATTGTGTAGCGCTTCCAACTGTCCAGTTGTCATCTCCTCTCCATGATGACTTCCTTCCAGCTGCCCCCCACCCGGGCATTTCAAAATTTGATTAAAAATGACAATGCTCTTTCCCCTCTTAACGATGAAAGCGTTGGCCGCGTCGTTGCCATACCTGCCGCAGTAATTCGTGGCGGAGAACAAAGTGAGCAGACGCCTACTATACCCATACCTGTACCCCTCCTGTACACACTCATGTCCTCGAATGACCATTTTTAATTTGTTCTTCTTCAAAAAAGAAGACAATCTCTTCTGACCAAATTTAAGAGTAATTTTCCCTCGACTAGAAGGAATAATATCCTCTTCCCCCGATTTTAATTTCTGCAAAAGAAACATGTCCTGTTCATCTTCATAATTAATTGGATCAGACCATAAAGTGTCAACAATAATTTTATGAACACGTTCATAATTTCCATTCCTTGTTCTGTCCACACATTGAGGAACGACAATGGGTTTGTGAACATCCCCAAAATCTTCCACCTTATGCAAGCTGTCCCCAATGCCTGCATGTACACATAAGATATTTCCCCCTACTAACACGGACAGGGGTAAAAACTCTAGCACATCATTAATGCGGTTAAATAATTCATAAGCATGAGCTTGTATCACTTCCCCCTGGTATCTGATCAACCCTACTCTGTTACCATTGCGCTCCATTTTATTTTCAATGTCTGCGTAAAACCCATGAACGTAATTAAACAACCTTTCCTCATGGTTACCCCTTAACAAATATATGTGCTTGGGGAAAAGAATTTTTAAACTGAGTAGAAGACAAATGACTTCCAACGAATGATTTCCCCTGTTTACATAATTGCCCAGGAAAACATATTTCACATCCTTCTCATGCGCAGCCATGTTAGCAACACTGGCCTCATTTGCTTTCCCCACAGACATACACGTCGCATCTGACGTAGCCACCTCGTCCACACTCAACCACTCGTTGGTGTCTCCATGCAAGGGCCAATTGTACATGTTAAAAAAGTCCAGTAGGTCAAAAATGTTTCCATGCAAATCTCCAAACACTTTGCAGGGGAGGTCTACATGCTCAATTGAATCCTCTCCCTTAAACACCTTCACGGCCTCATCACACAAAAGTATAATGTCGTTGTAGGTACACGCACCTGTACAGAGGTCATCAAACTGTGCCATATACTTCTCCCTCTTCCTCTTATAAGTCACTCTGTAAAAGGTTGTGAAGATTTTAAATGCGACGTCCTGGTTCAGTCCAAACAATCTTGTCCTATCGGTCAGGTACTTTTTTCTGTACGCCTTGACGATCTCCTTCATCTGTTCCACGCAGCTTTTCCAACTGCGTTCGGGCTTCATACGAGTATCGCGCTTTTTATCCTGCTCTGGTTGCTCCTCCCCCTGCTGCTCTTCTTCGCCTTCCCCGAAATGCGGTATGCTGTCTGTGCTGCTCGCCTTGTCTGGTTCCTCCCCGGGGGGGGTGCTCAGTTCATCCTGCGCCACGTCGCTGGACACGTCACCCACTTCCACAACTTCATGTTCCCCCTTCTCCGCGCTATTCATGTCGCTCCCTTTTGAGTTCCCATTCGAGTGGCCACAGGGGGGTTCTTCCTCCACCGCTTCCCCAACACTCTGATGTTGTTCCTCAATTTTCTCCTCCAATTTATCGTCCCTTTTCCCGTCCTGATTGCTATTCGAACCAGTTGTGATATGCGCCTGTGTAGGCTGCACTACTTCCTGAGAGTCCCCCTGCTCATCCTCGCCCTTAAGTGAAGTAGCGCTTATGCGTGGAGGCTCCTCCGAGTTGGGATCCCCCGTGGTAGACTCTGCACTGAACTGTAAAGAAGCGCACTGCTGCGGGGTGTCACCCTTCAACTGCGTCCCGTGCACGTCGTCCACACTCTGTTCGTGTTTCCCGCCCTGCTCCCCATCCAGCTGCACCTTAACCGAAGTACCCGTATCGTCTGTATCTCCCTCAATGGACGTAGTGAAGCTGCTTCCCCCCGCGTAGGTGTAAAGAAAGTAGGTCTTCACAACACTGGCCACGTCGCACTTGGATCTGAGTAAATTCTCAGTGCCTTCCACCTTCCCCTCCACAACAAGGTGGTAAAAATTATCGTAGCTAATCTTCTCACATGTGTGCATCAATTTGTCCCGTTGAACAGCTACAAACTTTTTCATCCTCCTTTTGTTTGCCTTCAGTTCCATGTGCTTGGAACCCTTGGACAGCTCATACAAATGGTATAAAAAAACAAACATCTCATCTCTACTCCAGTAACCATCGCGGTCCAGATCATATGCTCTGAAGATCAGTTGGTGTCTTAACCTTCCTGTGTCCTTCGTAATGTTATTGTCCATGTGTGGACTGCAAGCCAACATACCAATTAGGAAATCGGACTCGCTCACATAATACCTCCTACATCGATCTAGGCAGTTGAAAATGAACAAAATAATTTTTTCAGAGGCAAAAACATTTTTGTATGACTCAAACATTTGCTTGAAACATTTGAAGGAAATCAAGTTGGGGTAGTCTGTGTGTGCGTATTCATTGAATAGGTACTTGAGGAAAATTATTTTTTCAACAATGGTGTTGCTTTTTTTTTTACTTTTCTTCTTGTCCTTTTTTATTTCCTCAACTGCCTGGCCAATCTGTACATCCATGCTCGTGTCGTGGTCTCCCTTGAGGTATTTGCGGAACGCTTCTTTATTATGTCCGTAGGCGTCAAATAGGAGGCTATACAGCCCGTGCTTGTCCACATCACCCTCCTCGTTGTGAGACGAAATGATGTTCTTCACCAACTGGTTGTGAGAAACCCACTCGGTGAAGTCGCTGTTCTTGTAGGTGCATTCGGTGATTCGGTCTGCATCCACCCCAAGGGCACTATCCTCATTACGCAGAGCGGTGGCCCCATCGGTTGCCTTCTCCCATGAGCTGACCCCTCCCACAGGGGAAATCGACTCCAGACTCTCCAGCCCACCTGTGTAACCGCCTTCGTCCAAGTGCTTCACAACACCACTTTGGAAGAGGCTATCCCCGGACAGTCTTCTAACATGAGTCTGGTCATGCCACTGCCCACCACTCCCGTAGTGCCTCCCCCCTACTCCCAACACAGCGACGTCACTGTTATCCTGTGCTGTAAGGAAATCTTTGCTGCTCCCCCAGGGGAAACTATTCCTCGGAAGGCTCTCCACAGACGCATCATCAGGGTAACAACTCCCGTCACGCATACCACGATACATGACGCCGCCAAAATCTCTGTAGCTGTACTCGGAGGTTTTGCTCAAGTGACCTCCGCTCCACCGACCACTGCTCCACTTGTGAACCAACCCTGCATCTGCGTCCTTCCCACTTGCATACCATCTCGTGGATGTATCTCTTGTCCTTCTATTCAGGGGAAGAAGGACGACGCCCGGAGTGCTGTTCGTATGACCCAGCTTGTGGTAGTGGGCACTGGGAACAGTGTAACCATTGGAAGCCTCGCTCGAGGGACTCCCCAATTTGGCTCCGTCACCCCACCAGGAATGAAGAACCTCCTGACCTATGCTCCCTTCAGAAGACCCAACATAACTAGCATTCATTAAAGGTGCTCGTTTGGTGTGTCCATGCAAGTCGTCACCTGTGTATATCTTGTCCATTCCCCCGGGGAAGAAGCACCCTGCATGAGATTCCTTCCCCTTGTTGACCCGCTGGTTGTGATGAGCCAACTGGCTTACACTCCTCCCATTGGTCTGTTCCCCTCGTGCACTGTGACCAACTCTTCTCCCCCCCATGCCGTTCGCTTCCTCGCTCAAACGATACACCACTGGTGAGTTCACCATGGGCAAATGCACCCCAGACGAGTGTGCAGTCGATGATTGCGCAGTGGACGATTGCGCGGCTGACGGGTGCTTCACGAACCCTTTGTCGTCGCTCCAGTACTTTTCATTTTCATACAGATGCAACAAAGACGACGACCCATCCGCCAGATGCACCTGACTACTCCCGTCGCAACTTTGTCTCGCTGGATCTACCTGGGGACTTCCCATTCTACCCATCTTAAGTGCAGCCAGGCTGTTTATCTGGGTGGTTGGAATGGCCTGGTTTCCATTTGACGTGCCCCCCTTTAGCAGGGCTCCGCCCGCTGATGCGTGGTATCCTCGTCCATATGTATTGGCCGGGTAGCGGTGGTCTGGCAGGGTCACACAAGGATGATGGGTCGACACAGCGTCACCACACGGGGTATCTTTCCTCGTCACGTAGGAGGGACGATTTGTCCTTGTCTCTGCAACGTTCCTCATTTTCCCCCCAGAAATGGCTGCCTCTCTAACTAACCCTGTTCAGATGGAGAGACCCACCAGATGGTCAATTGGCCGTCAGTGTATCCCGCGCGGGGTGGCACAACACAATCTTATCACGCAGCTGTTAATTGGACGAGGCTGCAAAAACAAGAGTAAAAAAAACAAAAGCGAAAATGCATTTATACACTCATGTGTGCACACATGCTCCCACACACTTGCCCATTTGTGTGTACCGCTGGGGGCTACAGTCACAAAAAGGTTTCTGTCCCCCTTGGCACTTTCGCTCTCCTTTTATATGAAGTCCCAATCCAGCGCACACGCTGCTAAGAAGCAGAACAGGTGAAGCAACAAAGAAGGCACAAAAAAAAAAAAAAAAAAAAAAAAAAAAAAAAAAAAACAAAGCGAACAGTGTGAACAACAAAATGAAGGTAACAAAAAAAAAAAACAAAAAGAAGAGAACAAATGGATGTAACGAAAAGACGATTCCGATTCTTCTCACGACAGGCAACACACATCAGGGAAAGGGAAACAAGGATAATTATTCTTTCCCGCATACAACTACGCAACACAATTGCATTGCTCAGTTACAGCGCATACGCGTGGCATACACATCGCGCGCGCGCGTTGCCCCCCGACGATGCATTCTTGTGCACGCCTCATTGCCGCGTGCCCCGCCCCGAAAGGGAAAAAAAAAAAA